ATATATATATATATATATATATATATATATATATATATATATATATATATCTACTCTCGATAAATATTTACTTTCGATGGGTACTAATAACATATTTACTTGTAGTAATATGCATATTTTTACATGAAGAAAAAATTTCTTCCACAAGTGAGGTAATATGTATATTTTTCTGAAATCTCTTTGCTCTTCTCCGTGAAAGCAATTGTTTATTCTATTCAAACATTTAAAGTTTAAATAAAATGTTTAAAAAGCGTTTAAATAAAAGGTGTTAAAATTTAAATAGAATAGTTCTTAAAAACTATTTAAAAAACTTGGATTTAAATAAATAAATAAATAATATATATATATATATATCAGTATATTATTATATATATATAATAATATATATATATATATATATATATTATTTATTTATTTAAATCCAAGTTTTTTAAATAGTTTTTAAGAACTATTCTATTTAAATTTTAACACCTTTTATTTAAACGCTTTTTAAACATTTTATTTAAACTTTAAATGTTTGAATAGAATAAACAATTGCTTTCACGGAGAAGAGCAAAGAGATTTCAGAAAAATATACATATTACCTCACTTGTGGAAGAAATTTTTTCTTCATGTAAAAATATGCATATTACTACAAGTAAATATGTTATTAGTACCCATTGAGAGTAAATATTTCTTCTCTCAGTGTAGCAACATAACTCGGCTGCTTTTACGAGTCCTTTTTTAGTTGATAATATTCAGCAATTAGTTGCACTTTGCAAGAGCGAAACGTCCCGTTTTTCGAGTGATGTACAAACATACGTGCGTTCTTTCCTTACTTTGTTAATGTGTAGTGTACACTTGTCTCGTTTTACTCTCATGTAATCGAGGAGTGTGATATAAGTGAGAGAGAGAAGCACCGTAGGAACAAGTATTCGATTAATAGCGAAGTTTTCTCGTGAGTTGTGTGTCCGTGCGAGGCTGAACGCAGTGAGGGATGGTGGATCTCGCGCCGGCGACCCGAAACCGATCAGAGGCGCGATTGAAAGAGAACTCCCCGCTTCTCTCCATTCACTTTGGAACTGCGAAACTTTCCCGACGGCCGTCGTCGTCTCTCCTCTAACTGCCTTATCCGTGCCACGCTCTTTGTTCTCCAAACACTTCTGTCGCTTCGCCGACTTGAAATCCCGCGGAACAAAGCTATTCCGGTAAAACGCCGCCGATTATTTCAGATATGCGCGCACACGGCCAAAATAATACGCTTCCGGAACAAAGCCGCATTACCCCAATTCTAGCCGCTTCGACTTCATCGCTGGGGACCGGCCCTTTTCTGTCGCGGCGCTGTTAAGAAAGTTGTCAACGGAAGTAAGAGCAAGCCATTCCGTTTTTCTCTTTCTTTTTACACTCTACACGGAAATAATACGGAGATTTACGACGTGATCGCGCGAGAACGAGTAAAAATTTTCCCCGTTGAACTCTTGACGGCGAACCGATCCGTATTTGCAATGTTTTATTATGGATATCGCGTATGGAGTAAAGACTCCTTGCTCTTGACAGAGATATAGTCGAGTGGTCCTTGACGCGTCGCATCCTCGTGCACGGCGTTAAGCTATATATGCGGGTAGGTCGATCTAGGCGTCGATGATTTTTCGAGCAAATCGAGAGCTTTTTTGTGGGTTTTCACGGCGACGAAACGGGACCATGCAAATTTTCGGGTGAAAAAGAAGGAGACACTCGTTCTCCCGTCTAGTCCAGAACCCTCGAATGTGTCGTCATTGCCCTCCCTCCTTCTGGAAAGTAATTCGAGACGAGAGAGTGCTTCTGACGGGACACGGGAAATGTTTCTCCTGTACGCGTCGACCGGTTCCCTTCGTTCCACGAAATTGGAGAAGAGAACGCGGTCCCTGGACGATCGGGGAGGATCGCTAATGTATCTCGCAGCACGCGAGGCTGGAGACTCGGAAGTCGACGCGAAGTGATCGAACGGCAAAGATCAGGGAAGACAACGGGAGGGACGGGGGCGAGATGGGGGAGCGCGTGGCCCTGGCAGGACGGG